ATATTATAATACATTCATTTAATAAAACCTCAAAATTTTTCCCTGTAACAAACATTACTTTGCATTACTTAGTTTATATTTTTTATTTATTTTATTATATAATAACTACTACTAACAAATCATAAAGTCACATTAAGTGATATTATGATTTTTTAAACTATTTTTTATTTTAACTTATTAAGCAAGTTTTTTATTAACATTAGTTATTTAATTTTTATGATATAACCAAACTTTTTAATATTTCGTACACAATTGCTATAATAATAATAATATTTTCAATATGTTTTATCGAACCAATTGTTCATAATAAAAAAAGATTGCAAAAATCATATAACTGCAATCAATATGAATATTAACATTTAAGTCAATAGTTTATATTTATTTGTTCATTTTTACTAATGATAAAATTTATAAACTGTGATATGTTCATTATTTAACTTTTAATTTAAATATTACATACACATACATATAACATACAAAATTTTATTTGAATCGGTGCATGTGCACAGGAACGAATTCTAGTTAATTTCTTTCAATATCCCTCTTTCTCATATGACCCCTTCTCTATCTATATATATTCGATCAAAACCGATGAATCTTTATGGACGAACCCAACTTATTTTCACCATCGTGTTATACCCCATTGAATGTGATCATGTTTTGAGTACATACTAGCCCATGCCATGCGCCCCAAAGAAAACTTAAAATTAAAATTTAAACAAACACACAGTCAAATGTGGCATGTGGTGAAACAGGTACTAACAATATACACCCTATCTCTCTATAAATTGGACATAAAACCCCACACTTTCCCCACACACATCCAATCCCCTTTTCTCCTAATTAGAGAGAGAGAGAGAGAAAGAAGAGATAAACATGAATACCAAAACATGGCTTGCCGTTTATGCAATTCTAATTGTCCTAATTTTTGGACATGTCCAAGTGACAAAAGCTGCGACTTGCGACGTATCACGGCTGACTCCATGTGCCCCGGCTATAGCGTCTAATAGCACGCCAAGCACTGATTGTTGTGCCAGGTTAAAGGAACAGCAGCCTTGTCTCTGCCAGTACTTGAAGAACCCTCTCCTCCAAACTTACATCAATTCCCCTGGTGCCAAAACAGTTGCCGCCGCTTGTAAAACCACCAAGCCGAAATGCTAAAACGATTAATGTTATATCTTTGTATTATCGTTTTAGGCTACCAAGTTATGTCCCGATTTCCCACTTCCTACGTAACAATATATGTCGTCCCAATCATCATTTCCTTGTTTGTTTGCTTGTTCTAGGAACTTAAATTTGGTGTCCTTTGTGGTAACGAAGGCGTGTGTTCTGCTTCATTCAATTTCTCCCATTCTCAATTGTTCCAAGATATTGTCGTCATGAGTACTTCAGAATAACATAACATGGTTTTATTTATATGTAATTGATCTTTATGATTGATAGTAACCAATGTATGATTTCATGTTAGTGTTATTTGTTTGATTTGATGAGTTTTTTTATCTAAGACATTAATTAGTAATGACAATGGTTTTTGCACCTTTGATAGCGCAGCTATTGCCGTTATCCAGTTTCTGTTCATATTCTTTAGGACTTTCACTCCCTAATTACGGGTGGCAATATATTTATTTCAAAAATTTTGCTTCAGGCAAATAATTGATTCCACATGTTCAAGTTAATCTTTAAACGAGAAATGAGGGATCCAATTGCAAGTGTTGGGATGAGAAGGACTAAATTAATTAATGATGACGGTACAAATTTTAATATATGTGAAAATACACACTTTTTTATGCTAATGTGCATTCATAAACAAATTAATGTGTAATTGGTATTACACTAATGTGCAATACTATAATCACAAATATTCATTTTGTTTATTGTGCATTCTTGAATACATCAATGTGCATTTAATATAGTAATAACGTGCATACTCTTACATACGTTGTACACTTTCTTATAATTAATGTGTTTTACTAAAGTTTTCATTATTTATAAATATATCCCACATACTCAATTGTAATATATTTAGAATTTGTAAAATTGCATATAAGACCCTTGAAATATTTTAATTTCCGATCTGAAGCCCTAATTCAAATTCCAGAGTCCGGTCGACCACCACCCATGCCTCCGTCGTCCCGATCACGGGAGGTTGCCGACCAAAGCTTCCATGTTCCGACGCCGCTCAGGACCGAGTAAACCGGTGTCCGCCATGACTAGAGCTCACCGAAATTTCACGTCCGACCATGACCAACGTGCTTTCCGCCTGAAGAGTCGTCGACCCACCTTATTCACGATGCCGTTGTTGGCCCGGGGAGCAAATGAGACGTTTGACGGTGGCGAGGAGACAGACGAGGATGAGAAGGATGCCACCGGTAGATAACAGCGGGAGCACCTCCGCCGGCGCTGGTCGCGCGTGGCGTGGCAGCGACACCATAGCCTCGGACGGAGCGATCCCAATGGTGACGGCAAAGTAACCGGGACCTAGGTATTGGAGACGATGTTGGAGCTAGGCAACGGCGGAGCCGAGAAATTCCCTCGGTGAGAAGTGCGTGCATGTGTGTGTGTGTGTGTGTTTGGATGTGTTTGTATGTGTGTGTGTGTGAGAGAGAGTGAGAGAGAAAGAGAGAAAGAGTGGATGGATGTATTGGCAGATTAGGTAGGGGGATGTAAATTGGTTATTTATGTTGGGACCCATTGACGTGGTTAGTGGTTTGTGATAAAATGTCCATAACACCCTTAATGAAGGCATGATTTTTAACTCTTTTCAGCCATTAGATTATCCGATTTAACGGCTAATATGTATTCTTATTTTTTCACTGAGCACCATTCTCACTGGAGTGTGACTCTCTCTCTCTCTGTGTGTGTGTGTGTGTGTGTGTGTGTGTGTGTCTATATATACACAAAGAGATAGAGCGAGAAGGGATCAAATGAGAATGGTAGATAGTGAAAGAAATAAGAATGATTATGGACCATTGGATCAATTATATCAGTGATCATGATGAAGTCAAAATTGAGTTACAAGGTCAAACTTACAGTGGCAAAATTATAATTATAGTACTACTCTATGGATAATTAAATAACCCTAAGGACGGTGGTGTAATTTCATCAAAAAAATAAGTGGTACCTACCCATAAAACTCCCACCCACGATCCTTCTCTCCTCTCTCCTCTCTCCTATATCTCCCCATCTACCCATATCAATCTATCTCTCTCACTCTCACACACACATACAACACACATAAATCTCACACGCGCACACAGAGTCTGCCGGCGCCACCGTCACTTCGCCTCTGCCATCCGCCACTAGTCTGTCGTGTCGTCTTAGCATTCCGGTCACAGATGTCCACCAGTCCACAGAGTCCACATGCATATACACACAGTCCCCCAACAGTCACCACGACCACCACCGGTAGCAGACGTCCGCCGCAGCCATCAACATTTTTTCCCTTGCCTGTCTGTAGGCCACCACTAGCGTCTCTTTTTCTCCGATCAGATCCGCATCTCACGCACATGCATGACCACACAAAGTGTGTCGTCCGGCGCGAGTGGTTCCGTCGCAACAACGGTGAGTCGTCTCGTGCTCGTCGTTAGCGTTGAGAAAGTGGAAGAATGGCCGAATTTTTTTTATGGTTGCAGTGGAATGGGTCGGGGATGGTGTTTCAGATGTAGGAAGGTTGGGGTAGGGCTGGCGAGGGGTGGTGGCCGACGAGAAGCAATGGCCGTCGAAAAGGGCGTGAGAATGGTGAGTACGAAGGTTGTGTATTGAGGGATTTAATTTCGAAAATTATATGTCTTAGGACCTATCTGCAATAAAGAAATTAATTAATTCTTAATTTAGTCCTTAGGTCAAATTTATAATTTATTATAAATCACAGGCTGAAAATAATAATATTTTTACATAATAATAATAAATGTTAATATAGAGTTTTTTTGTTATCTAAATAAAATTAAAGAAAACGTCTAAAACTAATTAACATAATCGAGTTTTTTAATTTAAAAAATGATATATGAAATGAAATTTTAAATTCAAAATGAAAAGATTGGTTTCGACATAATCGGTTTAATTTTTTGGTTAAAACAAATAATTGAAATAACTCACATAATTATATATTTATTATAAAAGAACATGATTAGTATTTTTTAACATTTTATATTATTTTTTAATTAAAAATTGTATATATGTAAACGAAATATAGTGCAATCTAACAATTATTAAGGTTCAATTTGCACATCACTATGGTGTACGGTGTCGGTTTGTATGTGCAAATTGAACCAACCGATGTTTTGTCCCAATTCAAATTGAAAATGAACATGATTATTTAGTTTATTCGGTTCGGTTAATGGAATTATCCGATATATTAAAATTATATTTATGTTAATAATTTTATTTATTATTGTTATATTTTTTATTTAAAAAATTGATTCCGATCGGTTCGATCTTTATTGTGTAATATGATAGTCGTGATAAAGTGCAATGTGTTGTTTTCTAAAGTGCAACGTGTTGTTTTATAAAGTGCAGCATATTGATGTATAGAGTGTACTACTGTGATTTTGGTACATTAACATTCTTGTGTTTCTGTATATAAATGATGTTATTGATGTTAATATATGATGTATATATGTTTCTTAAATTTATGTTATGTGGTATGTTTGAGGGACCTGTTGACCTTAATTGTGCAGCGTGTTGATTAAGTGCATCATGTTATTTTATAAAATGCAATGTGGTGTTCTATAAAGTGCAACATGTTAATATATAAATTGCACTATTTTATATGAGCACATTTAAAGTATGTGTGAGCACATTTAAAGTATGTGTTTTTGAACTAGTAGATATAGTTGTATATCAAATTAACCTAAATAATTGAAATAATTTAATATTATAAAAGTATATCTATTACTGTAATATTCTTTATATATTAAAAATGTTTATGTTAAGATTCTATCAAATTTTTTATATTATAAAAATATATTTAATATTTTTTTTTCGGAACGATAAAAATTTTATAAAAGGGCACAAATGTGCAAATACAACCACTAGCTGACACACACAACCCCAGCTAAATAAACATGAGAGGACAGGACGAAGCCTGCCTAGAGACGACCCTAACAAGGGAATGACCACACAACACAAAAACACAAAACTACAACGGCCCCAAAAGGGTAATGCCCGAGTGTGTGGTCCCAAAAGGATAATTAGTTCACACTCGGGCTGACTGAGGCCAACGGTCCAAACCTAAAACACTTCAACTAACAGAACATGTACGAGTACAACAAAACAAAATAAAACCAAAACAAACGAGGCCCTTCCTCGGCAAACGAAGTAGCCCAACCAGTAGCGAAATGATCGAATCAAGAAAGATTCAAGGCCCAGAAGCTGCTACCGAAACTGCAGAAGGCCTATACAGTAGAACAAACTGAACCCCAAATCAATCCCAGAAATCGACCCATCTTTAACCGAGAGAGCCCCGATCAACCCCCACATCGGCACCACCCAAGCTCATCTAACACCACTAGACGAGGCGAATAGCACCTGGTCCCTTGCCGCCTAACACCACTAGCCGAACAGGGGAGGGTGAGCGAAAAACGAACCCTCCACCCCAACCACCGCAACGGAACTGCCCCAGCCACCGGGGGCTCTCCCCACCCAAAACACGCACTTCTCCCGACACCACCACAGCCTGCCAACAACC